ATCTGTGTGTGTGTGTGTGTATAAAGATCGCTTGTTTTCGACCCTTTGGAAATGGCTCTGTCCTTGGTGTGACTTTGGTGCCTTTTCCTCTGGAAAGAAAGGCCGCTCTCTTGACATTTTTGGGAAGGGGAGCTCTCTGTCTCTGCATTCCTGCCTGAATATTTCGCATTCCAGGTTCCTGACAAGAGAGGACCTGTCTGTCCTCTTCTACTTGGAGGAATGGAAATGTCTTTCTTAAGAGAGAAAAGGGATGGCATTGTCCTCTCTCTCTCTCTCTCTCTGTGCCTCCTTTTTATTTGATTTCTTTTGTTTCCATCTTTTATCGAAAAATCACAAAAATAAACTCCTTGTCTCTCCAAGGCAGACCCTTCCAAGAAAACCATCCCAGTCAAGGATTTGAAACAGAAAATTCAGACAGGGATTGAAAACAGGAAGTTTTTAAAGAATGGGCTGGGATACTGTATTATTTTGCTTTGCAGAAGGGCGGGATATAAATTATTATTATTATTATTATTATTATTATAAAGTATTTTTTAAACATTTTTATCTTTTTAACAGTACAGTGGGCCCTTGGTATCCACTGGGGTTTGGTTCCAGGATCTTTTGCGGATACCAAAATCCATGGATGATCAAGTCCCATTAAAGGCAATGGGATATTATTATTATTATTATTATTATTATTATTATTACAGTGAGCCCTTGATATCTGCTGGGGTTCAGTACCAGCCTCCCCCCCCCCCAGATACTTTATGAATATAAAAGAGAGCCAGGACGGAATAGTGGTTTGAACCTTGGACTATGACTCCAGAGACCAGGGTTCGAATTCCCACTCGGCAATGAAACCCACCTGGTTACCTTTGACAAGTCACAGTCTCTCAGCCTCAGAGGAAGGCAATAGCAAACCTCCTCCGAAGAAATCTTGCCAACAAAACCCATGATAGGTTCACCTTAGGATCACCATGAGTCAGTAAGGACAACAATATAAAATACTGAAATGCAGCCCTAAAATACAACTTTAAAAAACAACAGCACACAAGGCAGAATAAAACAAAATAGTCCGTACAGATAATCAGTATACTGAAGAGAGGCAGTGTGGTGCAGTGGTTTGAGTGCTGGACTCTGGAGACCAGGGTTCGAATCCCAACTCAGTCATGGAAACCCACTGGGTGACCTTGGGTAAGTCACACTATCTCAGCCTCAGGGGAAGAAGGCAATGGCAAACCCCTCTGAACCAGTCTTGCCAAGAAAACCCCTTAGGGTCTCCATAAGTCAACAACGACAACAACAAGCATTTCCCTGGAAACTCTGAGCAGCGGGTCGAGCTCTTGGTGCTCCAATCTCTCCTTTTGGATGGAGAAAGGCTTGGAAAGAGTCGTTCTGTCTGTGTCCCTTTCTCTGCCTCTCCTTTCTCCTTGCCTTGTTATCCCTTAAACAGCAAACAGGTTGACATGTGCTGGATGGAGGAAGGCTAGAAAGACGCCAACAAGCATCCCTAGCATTTCCCATAATGAGGAGATTTATTCCAAGTGGTGCCACTCCAGGTAAGTTGTCACTTTGGGTCGAGGCAGCCGTCTTCTTCGGCTCAGATCAGTCGGATGTTGGAAACTGCTTGCAGCAAAGGTGGGATCACTCTGCCATTTGGGACAGAAGCCCCTTCTCTTTCCCTCTGGCTTCCTCCTTCCCTTCTTCCACACCCTTCACCTCACCCTCATTGCACAAACTGCACCAAGACACAGAGAGAGAGAGAGAGATAAAGATAGATAGATATAGATATATCTCCCCTCCTTCGCCAGGCAGTGACCCCAGAACATCCAGCCCTGAGAATCAGAGAGAAGTCCCTTCCAATTCTCCACTTTTCTCATATCTACAAGAAAGCCTGAGCCCAATAGATAGATAGATAGATAGATGCATACATAGATGGATAGACAGATTCATGAGTTGAGAGATAGATAGATGCAAAGATAGATGCATAGATAGATAGATGAACAGATTGATAAATAGATGCATAGATAGATAGATAGATAGATAGATAGATAGATAGATAGATAGATAGATAGATAGATAGATAGATGCATAAATAGAAAGATGTACAGATAGATGGATGCACAGACAGATGCATAGATAGATAGATAGATAGATAGATAGATAGATAGATAGATAGATAGATTCATAAATAATCAATAGGTGCATAGATAGATGTATAGATGATGGATAGATGCATAGACTGTTAGATAGATGCATAGATAGATAGATGTACAGATAGGTGGATGCACAGACAGATGCACAGATAGATGCATAGATAGATGGATAGATAGATAGATAGATAGATAGATAGATAGATAGATACATGAATAGATGATAGATAGATGCATAGATAGATTTGCAAATGGATCTTGTGGCACCTTTGAGACTAACTGTGCAAAAGAAGTTGTAGCATCAGCTTTCATAGACTTAGTGAACTGATGCCCAGGAAAGAGCTTTATAATCAACCTGTGTGAGGAGCCATAGAAATGCAAAACTTGTGGGGATGGTGATGAGGTGATAAGTTCAGTTTAACCATAGTTAAACATAGCATTTCTATGGCTATTTGTGCATTCTGGTTTGCCAGATCCAAGCATGGGAATCAAAGGATGGTGCTGGAGATGAGAATGGGGTTGTCCTTTCCGTTAATGCCGTGTGATGTCAAGGTACTGAATCTGCAGGCATAGAAAGTAACTCCTTTTTTTCCAAATATGGTTGGATCAAGGGGTTTATCTATTGGAAATACGACCTCATCAGAAAGGCTATGCCTTCAGAGTTTTGCAACAGGTTGTCCCATGCAATTGATGGTTTATGGTGTCCAAATCTTGCGTAAACATCAGTGTTGGCTTTTCCTCACATGTTGCAAATGGCATCCAGGCAGACAGCATTCAGGCGCCTCTATGGCACTGGTAGCATTACAAGTCATGCTTTCTTTAAGGCAATGTTTCTTTACCTGAGCTTCCTGCCTTTAAATGTAGTTGTTTCTTGCAGCTATGCACCTGTGATGCAAGACTTGGATGCAATGTGAGGTGAGCCAGGATTTTCGGTCGGTGCTTTGATTTCAGCTGTTGCTAGCAGCTTCTTTAAGAGTAGGTGGCTGATAGAAAGCGAGGAGTATTATATTAAGAGCTTCAAAAAGATGTGATGAATTAGCTATGAAGGGGTAGATTTTTTTAAGTGTCAAGTGGTGTGCATATATATATATATATGGTAGCATATATGCATGCAACCTGCATCTGTAAGGTTGCAGAGCATGCAAGAATTGCTCTGCTCCTTGGGCTATACACCCAATCTAGGCTGCCAAAACCATTGCAACCCTATGACTAAAACCAGATTTGTCCATGGATGGATGGAGTAGGAAAGGTACCTTGCCCTCTCTTGGTCTCTACAGTTTGTTCCTTTCCAAGAGATGGTGAACAAGCCCAGGTTTAAAGTTTCGACTCCAAAACTCAATTTGCCTGGCCATGATTAGGCGCCAGGCTCTCTCTCTCTCTCTCTCTCTCTGGCCTATTTTTAATTACTTATTTTATTCCCTTCTGTAGGTTGCCGTATGTTATGACCCAACACGGCTCGAGCTTCAAATTGAAGGACGACTCGCATTAAGGATAAAGGTTTATAATAATTTAAGTATTCATAGAATGCAGAACAATAAGATGTAGGGAATACAATTTGCATAATAAATATCAATATTGCAACCGTTAAAGCAAACCATGACAAATTATCTGCCGCTAAATGACCGAGAGATTACAGAATGCAAATTGCAAAAAGGCTGAGCTCCAGGAGAGGACCCTCGAAAGGCTCCCCTTGACTATAACACCTGTCTCCATTTCACCCCAAAGGAACGCAATGCCAAAATCAAGAGGTATCACCTACGCTGACTATGCACTTGCAATGAACTTATATATATATATATATATATATATATATATATATATATATATATATTCCCCCATATATTAGACCTTCCTTTTTGGTCTGGAGAAGGAGCTGAGCCTCTGATGTGTCTGTCGTTGTGCATTTCATAGTTATGATATTGGCGCCTGGGTCTGCCTGACAGTGATTGAAGGCTGCTAAATAATCTGCCAAAGTACCAGCTTCCATGCAACCGGAGCGAGCAGCTCTGCTAATAAGGAGAAAGAAGGTCTCATGAAGGTTGACCTGCTGGGCTATTGCAAAGAGTTTTGTTAACAGCGGCAGTGCTTGGTGGCTTCCCGGTCCAGTGGGGCGGCGAATCCACTCCGGATGTTATCGGCGTTAAGCTGCTGGGTCCCCCAGGGCCTCCTTGGAGGTCTTTAAGCAGAGGCTGGATGGCCATCTGTCGGGGATGCTTTAATTGGGAGTTCCTGCATGGCAGGGGGTTGGACTGGATGGCCCTTGGGGTCTCTTCCAACTCTATGATTCTATGATTCTCAAAAACCATGAGAGGGGCCAGAACTGTCCAAGGTGCTGATCCTAGTTTCAAGGGATGGAGTTCAAGCCCCTTAAAGCTTCTAGGCCAGCGACTCCTTGTTTTCATGTCCATGGTAAATTGTCTTCAGAAGGTCATCTCTCAAAAGTAAGGGGCATGAGTTGAGATTGGCTCGAGGGCAGTTAACAACAAACAAAATATTTCTTTAATATTTCCAAGCTGTGGATGCTTGAATCCGTGGATATGGAGAGATGACTGTAGTACCAAGCCAAAATGATGATGAGAAAGTGATGTGGAAATTGGTCCTCTGGTCCTCGGGAAAGTTGGCTACCTTGGTTGCAAGGCAACTGGTCAACTGAGTAAGCCATGCACAACCGTTGCAATTGCGTCCCTGAACAAACTACAACAACCTTGTCCATGATACTTTTTTTAAGCAGGAGAAGAAAGATAAATTAGGCCAGCCTGGTGCTTGGATTCGGGTTGGCATCGGCGGATGCTTGAAGACCATGCCCTGAGAAGAAATGGAGCCCAGGGGCGGCCATGCCATTGATGGAGCTCTAGGGCAAAGCCGAAGCTACCCATCATCACGCCGCTGGGCTCCATTTTCTTCCCTTTGGTGGAAGCATTAGCGAGGAAGGACATTTCTCTGTCTGGAGAGATTCTATCGCAACGCGCAACGTGTGAGAAACGTGCCAAGTTGCCATGGCTACTTAATAAAAAAGAAAGTTATGAGTGCAAGAAACTGCCTGACAGTAACACTCTCTCCCTCTCCTTCCCTTCCATTCTCCTGGCTCTAAATGCCACCACTGCCAAATATTCCTCAAACTGGCACTGGTTAATATCTTTATATTTTAATATAACTAACTTCAAGAGCCAGATGGTGTGTTTTGCAGTCTGAAACTTATAATCAATGTTTGCTAAAGCTGTATATATATATATATATATGTGTGTGTGTGTGTGTGTGTGTGTGTGTGTGGCAGAGATTATAATGAAAGGAGAAGCTTTACTGTGCACAATTCGTACTTGACTGTGTGATTTAGGTATTTGTTTTGCAGCATGCCATCAATGAATGTGGCACCCAGAATGGGTTTGCTTTGGGAAAAGTCCACCAAGTCCTCGCCTGCAAACTGCCTGCAATTTGAGGTGTGCAATGAATGGAAAGCAACGTTGAACTGCAAGATTGATGCATGGTTTATGCAGAGTTGCATGCATTTAAGAATTCACTTAGCGGTCTGAGTGTTGGGCTAGGGCTCCGGGAGACCAGGGTTCAAATCCTGGCTCAGCCCTGGAAATACAATGAGTGACCTTGGGCAAGCGTCCCACTCTCTCAGCCTCAGAGGGAAGGCAATAGGGAACCTCTTCTGAACATATCTGGCTATTAAAATCCTAGGAGAAGATATCCATAAGTCCCACTCTCTCAGCCTCAGAGGAAGGCAGTGGGGAACCTCCTCTGAACATATCTGAAAATCCTAGGAGAGGATAGCTATAAGTCCCAGTCTCTCAGCCTCAGAGGAAAGCAAACATCCTCTGGGCAAATCTTGCCAAGAAAAGCCTACAATAAGCTCTCCATATTGGAGCCAGCATGGTCTCATGGTTTGGGTTCAAATCCACGCTCAGCCTTGGAAACTGAGCCCCACTCTCTCAGCCTCAGGGAAAGGCAATGGGGAACCTCCCCTGAACATGTCTGGCTATAGAAACCCATGGAGAGGGTTGTTGTAAGTCT